CTAAAATGTCTATTCTGATTTTTTGCCCATTTTTTATATGGCTGTCTTTTGTAGTACAGTTCTAAGAGTTCTTTATGTATTTTGGATATTATCCCCTTATAAAATATGTGGATTAGTATTTTCTCCCATTCCTTAAATTGTATTTTCACATTTTTTATAATCCCCTTTGACACACAAAAGTGTTTAATTTTGAGTAGTCTATTTTTTTCTTTTGTTGCTTGTGATTTTGGTGTTGAATCTAAGAATCCTCGGACAAATCTGAGATCATGAAGATCTGCCCCCTATGCTTTCTTCTAAGAGTTTTGTAGTGTTAGCTCTTTCATCAATTCTGGGTTCATTTTTGTATATGGGCTGAGGTAGGGGTCCATCTTTATTTTTTTGCATGTGGACATCCAGTTGTCTCTTCACCATGTCTTAGAGAAACTATTCTTTCCATACTGAACAGCTTTGGCATCCTTGTCAAAAATCAATTGTCCACAGATATTTGGATTTATTTCTGGAATCTCCATCCCACTCCACTGGTCTATCCTTATGCCAATACCATACTGCCCCGGTATCATCCTTATTAAGATATATATAACTGACATAATTACAAGAGACTTAAAGTGCATATTGTGGTATATATACATACATAAACATTGTGAAATCATTCCTACCATCTAATTGACACATCCATCACCTATTTTTTTTGGTAGAACACTTTTGTTCTACTCTCAGAAAAATTCAATTATACAATACAGTATTATCAACTATAGTCACCATGTTTTACTTTACATCCTCAGACATTATTCATATTATATAGCTGAAAGTGTGTACCCTTTTACCAACTTCTCCCTATTTCCCCAACTCTCTAGTCCCTGGCAACGACTCTTTTACTCTCTGTTTCTACGGTTTGACCTCTAAAAAAAAATTCCACATATAAGTTATACATGTAGTATGTGTCTTCCCCTGTCTGGCCTTTTTCACCTAGCATAATGCCCTCAAGATCCATCCGTGTTGTCACAAATGACAGAAGGATTTCCTCCTTTCCCATTGCTGAAAAATGTGTGCATGTGTGCGTGTGTACACACACACCAAATCTTCCTTATCTAATTCATCTGTTGATGAACACTTAGGTTGTTTCCATATCTTGGCTCTTAGGATTTTGATTTGCATTTCCCTGATGATCAGTGATGCTGAGCACCCTTACATGTACCTGTTGGTTACCTGTATGTCTTCTTTGGAAAAGTATCTCTTCAGCCACATTGTTTTTACTCATGGTACCTTTATAGTAAGTTTTGAAATAGGGAAATGTGCGTTCTCTCACTTAGTCTTTAATTTTCAAGATTTTTTGTTATTTGGGGCTCCTTGCCATTCCATATGAATTTGAGGATCAGCTTTTCCATTCCTGTAGAAAGGCCACTGGAGCTCTGACAGGGATCACACTGAATCTAGAGCTCACTTTGTGGGGACATTACCACCTTGCCAATATTAAGTCTTCTGATCCATTGACATGCATGTCTTTCCATTTAATTCGGTCTTCTTTAACTCATTTTAGCAATATTTTGCAGTTTTCACTGTACAAGTTTTCATCTCCATGGGTATTTATTTATTCCTAGGTATTTTATCCTTTTGGGTGCTACTGGAAATAGAATTATTGCCTTAATTTCCTTTTCTGGTTGTTTACTATGTGTTGATTTTGTACCCTGACACTTTAACTCATTTATTGGTATTAGTAGCGTGTGTGTGTGTGTGTGTGTGTGTGTGTGTGTGTGTGTGTGCTTCAGGATGATCTACATATAGAATAGTATCATTTGCAAATAGAGATATCTTTACTTCTTCCTTTCCAATTTGGATGCTTTTTATTTCTTTTTCTTGCCTAACTGCTCTAACTAGGACTTCTGGCACGATGTTGAAAAGTGATAAAAAAATGGGCATCCTTGGTGATGGGTATTAAAGAGGGCACGTTCTGCATGGAGCACTGGGTGTTATATGCAAACAGTGAATCATGGAACACTACATCAAAAACTAATGATGTAATGTATGATGATTAACATAATTAAAAAAAAAGTGGGCATCCTTGTCTAATTCCTGCTGTTTGGGGGAAAAGTTTGTAGTCTTTCACCACTGAGTATAATGTTAACTGTAGGTTTTTCATAAATGTCCTTCATCATGTTAAGGACGTTCCCTTCTACTCCGAGTTTGCTAAGTGTTTTTGTCATGAAAGGGTGTTAAATTTTGTCCAATGCTTTTCTGCACCAATGAGATAATCATGTGGGTTTTTTCCTCAACACATTGGTTAATCTTTGTATGTTGAAAATGCATCCGTGCATTCCTGGGATAAATCCCAATTTATCATGGTGTATAATCCTTTTAATGTGTTATTGGAACTAGTCTGTTAGTATCTTGTTCAGGATTCTTACTATATATTTATCAGGGACATTGGTTGTGTTGTCTTTTTTTGTGGCATCTCTGCCTGCCTTTGGTATTAGGACAATGGCAGCATCCCAGGGTGTGTCAGGAGGTGTTTGCTCTTCTACTTTTTGAAAGAATCTGAATAGGGGGCACTTGGTTGGCTCAGTCAGTTAAGCGTTCGAGTCT